AAAATGTATATTATGCTGTTAGGTGAATTCCTCTGTAGATGTGTATAAGGTCATATTTGTTGGTTATATTACCTAGTTCTATATCTTTGTTGAGTTTCTTTCCAGTTCTGTCTTTTATTGAAAGTGGTGTATTAAAAGTCCCCTAGTGTTACCATGGGGGAGCTCTGGTAGCATAGTGCCTAAGGCATTTGACTGCTAACCAGAAGGCTGGTGGTTCAAACCCACCAGCCACTCCTCGGAAGGAAGATTGGGCAATCCTACTTCCTCAGTGATACTGCCTCGGAAACCCAAGGAGGGGTCGCTATGAGTTGGGGGCGACTCGACGGCAAATAACAACAGCAACAACTGTTACCGTGGAGTCATTTGTCTTTTCTATTCTGAGAGTCTGGTTTATGTATTTTAGGGCCCTTTCACTGTGTGAGTAGATTTTTTTTATGGTAGTATCCTCTTGTTCAAATGATGCTTTGTTATATAATACCTTCTTTGTCTCTTACGGTAGTTTTTGCTTTAAAGTCTGTTTTATCAGAAATTAAGATTGCCACTCTTGCCTTTTTTTTTTTTTGGATTGGCATTTGCTTGATGTATCTTTTTCGAGCCCTTGATTTGTAGTTTATTTTTGTCTTCATATCTAAGATGAATCTTGTAGATATTATATTGATGTTCATGTTTTCTGATTCAGTCTGAAAGTCTCTGTCCCTTGTGTGGTGCATTTAGTCTATTTACATTCAGTGTAATTACAGACAACTCTGAATTTATTGATGCCATTTTGTTATGTGATGCAGTTGTTTATTGTTTTTCTTTCAGGTTACTCTGTGATTTATAAGTTTCTTCCTAAGTTTTAAAACAATTCTCTGTTGCAACTGCCTTGACTTCCTCATCACTTAGAAGTTCTATAACTATGCATTTGTTCCCTTTTTAAGTTTGTAGTTGTTCCCATTTGATAATTTATATCTCTGGTTCCCTGTTTATAGTCTCATAAGCTTATTTTACTTTGGATACCTTTGTAAATGGGTTGGTTTCTGGGTTCTTTTGTCATGTGTGTTAATTATTAGTGGTTGTTGCTGTTACTTGTTCTCTATCTGAAGGATTCCTTTTATATGTCTTTTAAGGTTAGCCTTGTTTTAAATTCCTTTAATTTCTGCTTTCACCATCATAATTGATTATACTATCATATTTAAGAGACAATTTTGCTGGGTATATAACTCTTGGTTGGCATTTTTTTTTCTTTCAGGGTTTTACATGCATCATCCCATTCGTTTCTCACCTGCATGGTTCTGCCTAAAAATCAGAGGTTAGTTTTATTGGTTGCCATTTGTAACTTCATTTTTCCTGTGCTGCTTTCAAAATTTTTTCCTTGTCTTTGGTTTTGGTGAGTTTTATGATACTATTCTTTGGTTATTCCTTTTGGGGGTCTATCCTGTTTCGGGTTTGTTGAACTTACTGATGAATATATTCTTGTTTCTCATCAATATATTAGGAAAATTTTTGTGGAACAAATCTTTGACAATTTTCTCTGTGGTTTTTCCTCTTCCTGCTCCGGCATTCTGATTACATGTGAGTTATTCCTCTTGATGGTATCCCATATGAATCTTAGGCTTTCTTCATTTTGTTTTGATCTTTTGTCTGATTGATCTCTTTCCAAAGTACTTTTGAGGCATTTGTTTTCAACCTCATTGATTCTGTCTTTCATTGATTTAATTCTATTTCTTTACCCATTCAATGTGTTGTCTATTTTTTAATTTTAGTATTAATCTTTTGGGTTTTTATTTGTTGATTTTGTATCATTTGTAATTTTTGTTTTTATTTTGTGGATTTGTTCTTGTATTGTTTTTCTAAATTGTTCTAAAGTTTTGTCTATGTTTTCTTTAATTTTGTCAGTGTTTTCCTTGGCTGTCTTGCAATCTGTTGAAGGTACCCAAATATAATTCTTTTGAATTCTTCACCAGGGATTCCAGTGCTGCTGCTTCCTCAGGGAAACTTTCTGGGTTTGTATCTTGGTTTCTTGTTTATACTACTTTATCTTGTGTCTTTATTTGGCTTATATTGGTTAGTTGTCTCTGAGATGTTGTGATGTTGTATTTATGTTTAATTTGTGGTTGTATGTTGGTGTGATTCATCCCCCCAATTTTTTTTCCTTTTATTTTGTTTTTACATATCTGTGGGAATAGGGTACAGCACTACTCTATTTAGTAGTTCCTAGCACTGGTTGGTGCTAGGCACTCAACACCTGTATCCTGGTGGCTGTGATAGAGAATGAGAGTGTATG